TGCCAGCAAGGACTGGAAAGCAGTTGCCCGTCGTAAGCGTCGCGGTGGTCTGCGGACTCTCCCAGTGCCGGGTACAGGGGGAGCGGCCCCGGCCCGGACTCTTCTGACACCAGCAACCACGCAGGCTGGGGCCGTGGCGCCCAGTCGTAGGCGTTCCAGGCAGGCTTCACGACTTCGAGAAAGTGCTGCTCCATGGCGAAGACGTCGGACTGGGAGGACGCCAGTGTTGGAGCTGATGCAGGAGACAAAGTCTGCAGAGGGACCAGCAGCCTCGCTATTTATGCTCTCCTCCGAGGTGGGTGGATTCAAGCCTGACGACAAAAAAAGGAAGAAAAAAAAACAACGAACCGTCCTTTTGAAAACGGAATTACCCACAGTTAACAAACGCAACTTGCTGTGCAGACAGGAAAGAAACACGGAACGGTGGCGGGACCGCACGGACCAATCAGTAACACAGGACAGGGAGGGAGAACCAGTAGCAAAGCGCAGGAAGAAGTAACTGTGCAGAGCGGGGACAGACCCGTTAGCGCTGGAGGGTGACGACGAGCCCACGGTCCTCCCTGACATCAGGGCCCACACACTCCCTCTAGCGTTGCGCCCCCAAGAGGCATGGCTAGAGAGACACCAGAGAAATCCCACGCTCTGCAACGGGGTGATGGATGGCACAGTGCACAGCACAGCTGTGCTCCAAAAACTACTAACTGAAAGCCAAGTTAATCCGCACTAATAACCTCAGCGTCCACAGGTCCTTCACACCCACTGAAATACAAATAGGGGAGCAGAGTGCACCAAACACCTCCATGCCAGAGCTGTGTAGCAGGAACTTTTGTATAAGGGACAAAGAACTCCCGCTGCAGCAGGGGGACAGAAGTTAGGGGTACAGGGCGCTCCGACACCAGCTTGTCTCTAAAATCCCCTCACACGAAACCCACTGGGTCTCAGGGCCCAGAGTCACATTCCTGGAGAAAAAAACGGAGACGTCTTACTTACACTGTGCCACGGGTCCAGGGAAAGCACAGGCAAAATGCAAACGGTGCTCCAGACACCGTCACTGAAACCTCAGTGAGTCCGCAGTAACACCACCGGCACGAGCTCCCTTCCCCCAAAGGAAATGTGAACGGCACTCTCAGTTGCTCGGCTCACCACAAGGAACATGGCGAAACAATGAATAACCAGCGTTCACCACGGAAAACAAGAACGGCACTCGCAGTTGCTGTGTTCACTAACACGAACATGGCGACACAATGAAAAAACACCGTTCACCACGCCAAATGTGAAAGGCACTGTCAGAGTTGCTCTCTTCACTAAAAGAAACACGGAGGACACGGTGCAAAAACACCGTTTACCACGGGAAATACTCGTCGCAGTGTCAAAAGTTGTGTTCACTGAAGGAAATAGGAATGACACTGTCGATACCTCCGATCACCAAAGGAAATCCGTTAGAAGGAGCCTAGTGTGAGCACAGTCACCCCGCTGTGCCGTTGCCGGTGGAACGAGTGCCGTCCCGGAGTAAAAGTCTGTAAGTCACGGTGTCGGTTAGCACGAGCAGCCATCAGTCAGTGAGAGCCAGTAAGACACAGTGGGAGGGAAAGGCTGTCAGAGCGAGCGGGAAGGGGAGAGGCAGGAGGGGGCGAGGAAACGGCAGCGACCCGGCTGCAGGGAGAAAGGGGCAATCACTGACAGGGGACACCGAGGCACAGCATGCACTTTTATTGCAAAGGGAGACCCTTCCCCAGCCCCTCCCCCCGCACGTCCCCCCAAGGCTCCCTCCCGCCGCAGTCTCAAGGCTCTGGAACGTCCAGGAAGACCCCGCAGCAGCCGGCAGCCCTGCGGACGGCGCGACGGGCCCAGCGCAGGCAGCCGGAGAAGTCCCGGGGCGACCGCGCCCATCCGACCCGTAGCCCGCGCGGGGCGGCGCTCTGCAGGGGCGCACGTCCTCCACGTCCCTCGCGATGTGCAGTCCGTCTCCGGCGCTGGGCGACGGGGCCAGGGACAGCCGCTGGGACCCGGTTTCCTTCTCAGGCTCAGGCTCTCGGGCGGGGTCGGCTGTGGTCTCTGGGGTCTCCGGCGTCTCTGGGGTCTCCGGCGTCTCTGGGGTCTCTGGCGTCTCTAGTGTCTCTGGGGTCTCTGGGGTCTCTGGCGTCTCTGGGGTCTCTGGGGTCTCCGGTGTCTCTGGCGTCTCTGGCGTCTCTGGGGAGGGGCCCACACTGGGCTGTGCTGGGCTGGCCCCCCAGCGGCTCTGGGCGCCGCTCAAGCGCATGAACTCATCGTAGACCGGGGGCAGCTGCCAGCAGGGACTGCGAAGCAGTTGCCCGCCGTCAACGCCGAGGTGGCCCGCGGCCTCTCCCAGTCGCGGGTAGAAGGGCAGCGGCCCCGGCCCGGACTCTTCGAGGATCGGCAAGGGCGGAGGCTGGGGCCCCAGCGCCCGGTCGGCGGCGTCCCAAGCCCGCTTCACGGCGTCGGGAAGGTGCTGCTCCATCGCGGAGACGGCGGTCGGGGAGGACACCAGCGTCGGAGCTGATGCAGGAGCCAAGCCGGAGGCCGAACCAGCGGCTTCGCTATTTATGCTCTCGTCGGTGGAGGAAGGAAGCAAGCTTCACGTCAAAAAAAATCCCCGTGTTGTTGAAAACGAAATCGCCCAAAGCTAACAAACTCAAGACAATGGGTAGACCAGAGAGGAAACGCGGCACTAGGGCGACAGGAGACGGAGCCGTCGTCAGGACCGGAGAGGCAGGGGGCCCAGCCCTCGGGGCTCCCTGAAATCAGCGCCCGGGAGACCTGGCTGGCGAGAGAGTCGGAGAATGACCCCCCGCTGCCACAGGGCGGGCTTCGGCAGAGCCAACAGCGGGCCCGTGGTCCCACACCCCTTCATGGAAAACGGGGTTCATCTGCACCGACGGCGTCAAACTCAAGAACACGGCAGACACACAGGCAGACACACAGTCTCCTTGGCATATTGGAGCACACAGCTGGGGGCTAACCGCTGGGTCCGAACAAGGCGGCCCCACCCGTCTGCTCACAGGTCGGAGCACCGGCCCCCCGGAGCCCAGAAAGCGGCTAGCAGTGCAGGCAGGGGAGGCAGCCAAGGGCCTCCTGAAAGGACGCTCACACAGCCCGCAGTCTAGCGCTCTGCCCCCGGAGACGTCGCTGGAGAGAGTCCGGGGAAATCCACTCCCTTGGGTCTGGCAGTGGGTGCCAGAGAGCCCATGCAGGGGCCGTTGTCCCTCTGCCAAAAGCGTGTCGTGGAGAACGGAGACAACCCTGTCTAACGTCGTATCGGTGAGGAATCGTGGACGAGTCAAAGTCTGTATCTAACAGTGTCAGTTCTTTAAAACGCACCCTCCCCTAACACAGTAGGGAAAGTATTTAAAAAGCACTTTTAGCAAGGCAGTGGGGACGCTATTGTGAAAAGCACCGTCAGCAGGCAGTAGCGATGGTATTTTGAAAAGCAATGGCACCAAAGGCAGTAGGGACATTATTTTGAAAAGCACCAGCACCAAAGGCAGTAGGTATGATACATTAAAAAGCACCAGATCCCAACACGGTATAGATGGTATTTTAAAAGGCACCGTCTCCAAAGGCAGTAGGGACGGCATTTTACAAAGCACCCTTAGCAAGGCAGTGGAAATGGTATTGTAAAAATACTGGCACCAGAGGCAGTATGTGAGGTACATCAAATAGCACTGGGACCAAACAACGTAGAGAGGGTATTTTGAAAAGAAAAAAAGCTTCAGTAAAGGCGGTAGGGACAGCATTTTAAAAAGCACTGGACTCAAAGGCAGTGGGGACGGCACATTAAAAAGCACTGGGACCAAACACCGGAGAGACTGTATTTTAAAAAGCACGGTCACCAAACACCTTAGGGGCGATCTTCTAAAAAGCACCGTTACCAAGCCGGCAGGGTCGGTATTTTGAAAACACCGGCACGAAAGGCGGTTGGTAGACACGTTAGGAAGCAGTGGGACCAGCAGCGCTGGGGACGGAACATTGAAACACACTGGGACCAAACACCGGAGAGACGGGCTTGTAAAAAGCACCATCACCAAAGTTGGTAGGAACGGTACTTTAAAAAGCACCGCCAGCAAGGCAGTAGGGACGGTATTTTAAAAACCACTGTTAGGACCCTGGCTGGCTTAGCCCAGTGGATTGGACCCTGGCTGCGACCAGGCATTGCAGGTTCGATTCCCAGTCAGGGCACATGCCTGGGTTGCAGGCCACGGCCCCCAGCAACCGCACATTGATGTCTCTCTCTCTCTCTCTCTCTCCCCCACTTTCTAAAAATAAATAAAATCTTTAAAAAATGAAAACGGGGTTCATCCGCACCCAAAACGTCAAACTCAAGAACACGGTAGACACAATCTCTTTGGCATAATGCAGCACAGAGCAGTGGGTAACCGCTGGGTCCGAACAAGGCGGCCCCACCCGCCAGCTCACAGGTCGGAGCACCGGCCCCGCAGAGCCCAGAAAGCGGTTGGCGGTGCAGGCAGGGGAGGCAGCCGAGGGTCTGCTGAAAGGACGCTCACACAGCCCGCAGTCTAGAGCTCTGCACCCCGGAGACGTCGCTGGAGAGAGTCCGGGGAAATCCGCTCCCTTGGGTCCGGCAGGAGGTGCCAGAGAGCCCGCAGAGGGGCCGTGGTGCGTCCGCGGAAGGCCGGTCGTGGAGAACGGAGTCAACCCTGTCCAACGTGGTATCGGTGAGGAACCATGGACGAGTCAAGTCTGTATCTAACCGTGTCAGCTCGTCCAAGTGACGGCCAGCCAGTGAGAGCCGGAGAGAACGTGTGGAAGGGAAAGGCAGGGAGTAACAGCAACAAGGGGAGAGGTAGGCGGGGCAGGGAAAGCGCAGCGCCCAGGGGTGCAGGGAGAAAGGGGCAATCACTGACAGGGGACCCCGGAGGACAGCACGCGGTTTTATTGGAAAGGGAGGTTCTTCCCTGCCCCCACCCCCACCCCCCGCCGCCCCCCCGCACGTCCCCCCAAGGCTCCCTCCCGCCGCAGTCTCAAGGCTCTGGAACGTCCAGGAAGACCCCGCAGCAGCCGGCAGCCCTGCGGACGGCGCGACGGGCCCAGCGCAGGCAGCCGGAGAAGTCCGGGGGACCGCGCCATCCGGCCCGTGCCCGCGCGGGGCGGCGTTCTGCGGGGCGCACGTCCTCCAAGGTCCCCGCGATGTGCAGTCCGTCTCCGGCGCTGGGCGACGGGGCCAGGGACAGCCGCTGGGACCCGGTTTCCTTCTCGGGCTCACGCTCTCGGGCGGGGTCGGCTGTGGTCTCTGGGGTCTCCGGCGTCTCTGGGGTCTCTGGGGTCTCTGGCCAGGGGCCCAGACTGGGCTGCACTGGCCTTGCCCCCCAGGAGCTCTGAGCCCCGCTGAGGAGTGTGTACCCTTCATGGATGAAGGGCAGCCTCCAGCAAGGACTGGAAAGCAGTTGCCCGTGGTAAGCGTCGCGGTGGTCTGCGGACTCTCCCAGTGCCGGGAACAGGGGGAGCGGCCCCGGCCCAGCGGACTCTTCTGACACCAGCAACCACGCAGGCTGGGGCCGTGGCGCCCAGTCATGGGCGTCCCAAGCCGGCTTCACGACTGGGAGAAAGTGCTGCTCCATGGCGAAGACGTGGGACCGGGAGGACGCAAGCGTCGTAGCTGCTGCAGGAGGCAAAGCCTGCAGAGGGACCAGCAGCCTCGCTATTTATGCTCTCGACCGCGGTTGATGGATTCAAGCCTGACGGGGGCGGGGGGGGAGAAAAGAAAGAAAAAAAAAAACAAAGAAAGAAATACCGTGTTTTTGAAAACGGAATTACCCACAGCTACCGAACTCAAGCTGATGTGCAGACCAGGAAGAAATACGGAGTGATGGAGAGAAACCACGGAGCAATCAGTAGTAGGACAGGACAGGGAGGGAGAACCGGTAGCAAAGCACACGAAGAAGTAACTGTGCAGAGCGCGGAGAGACCAGTTAGCGCTGGAGGGAGAGGTCGAGCCCTGGTCCTCCCTGACATCAGCGCCCAGGCACCCCCTCTAGGGCTGCGCCCCCTAGAGGCATGGCTGGTGAGAAACCAGAGAAATCCCACCTCTTCTTCGGGGTGAGTGACGGCACAGCGCACAGCACAGCTGTGCTGCAAAAACTACTAACTGAAAAACGAGTTAATCCGCACTAATAACCTCAGCGTCCAAAGGTCCTTAACACCCATTGATATAAAAAAATAAAAACCGCAAACAAAACCGGAGAATAGCACAGCAAAAACCTTCAGGTCAGAGCTGTGTAGCAGGAACTTTTATATAAGACACAAAGAACTCTCGCTGCAGCAGGGTGACAGCAGTTAGGGGTGCAGGGCGCTCGGAAACCAAGTTTTCTCAAAAATCATCCCACAACCAGCCCACTGGATCTCAGGGCACAGATGCACATTCCTGGAGGAAATTCGAGGTGTCTTACACAGGACCATGAGTCGACGGAGGCCCAGCAAAACTCCATACTGTGCTGGAAAATGCTAAACTGAAACCTCAGCCAATCCCCAGGAACATCACCCACATGAGTCCATTCCCCCATAGGAAATACGGACAGCACGGTACAAAGTGCTGTTCACCCACAGGTATCCCCATGGCAGTGTCCAAAGTTGACTTCAGTGAACGAAATTCCGACGGCGCTATCAGTAGCTCGGTTCCCACAAAGAAATGTGCAGGAACTGTCGAAGCTCTCTTCACCCACAGACAATCCCGAGGCAGTATCCAAAGTTGCCTTCAGGAAAGGAATGTGCACGGCACGGTGAATCTGTGTGCATTCAAGCAAATGCATTAACAATGTCGAAGGTCTGTTCACCCACGGAAATCCTGGTGGCTTTTTCCAAAGTTGCCTTCAGTGAAAGAAATGGGACCTCAGTGTCAAAGGCTCTGTTCACAGAGGGAAATCCCCTTTGCAAGGTTAGGGTTTCCTGCAGTGAAGGAGATACACACGCCACTGTCAAAGCTCCCTTCACCCACGGAAATCCCTGTGGCAGTATCCAAAGTTGCCTTCAGGAAAGGAATTCACTGTGCACGGCACAGTGAATCCGTGTTCTTCCAAGCAAAGGCATTAGCAATGTCAAAGCTGTGTTCACTCACGGAAATCCCCGTTGGCAGTTTCAAAAGTTGTCTTCAGTGAAGGACATACAAACTGCAGTGAAAAGCTTGGTTCAGCCACGGAAATCCCCGAGGCAGTATCCAAAGTTGCCTTCAGTAAAGAAAATACGGACCTCACTGTCAAAGGCTCTGTTCACACAGGGAAATCCCCTTTGCAGTGTTAAAGTTACCTTCAGTGAAGGAGACTAGGGGCCACACTCCAAGCTCTGTTCAAGGGAAATCCCGGTGGCAATGTGAAAAGTTGCTATCAGTTAAATATATACGGACCACACCGGCCAAAGCTCTGTTCACTCACGGAAATCCCCGTGGCTTTATCCAAAGTTGCCTTCAGTGAAGGAAATGAGACCTCAGTGTCAAAGGCTCTGTTCACAGAGAAAAATCCCCTTTGCAGTGTTAGAGTTACCTTCATTGAAGGAGATACAGACCCGACTGTCAAAGCTCTGTTCAACGGAAGTCCCGGTGGCAGAGTTAAAGGTTGCCTTCAGTTAAGCAAATAGGGACGGCACTGTCCAAAGCTCCGTTCACCCACAGAAATCTCAGAGGCTGTATGCAAAGTTGACTTCAGATAAGGACATTTGGACGGGACTGTCAAAATATCTGTTCACCAAGGAAATCCCCTCGGCAGTGTGAAAAGGTGCCTTCAGTAAAGAAAATGTGGACAGCAGTGTCAAAGCCGTTCCTCCAAGGAAATACCGTTGGTAGTGTCAAAAGTTGTCTTCAGTGAAGGGAATACAAACCGCGCTGTGAAAAGCTCCGTGCACCCACAGAAAATCCCGAGGCAGTATCGAAACTTGCCTTCAGGAAAGTAATAAACACGGCACGGTGAAGCTGTGTTCATCCAAATAAATGCATTAGCAATGTCCAAGCTCTATTCACGCACGGAAATCCCCTTTGCAGTGTTAAGGTTACCTTCAGTGAGGGAGACAGAGAGGCCTCTGTCAAAGCTCTGTTCAAGGGAAATCCCCGTGACAATGTCAGAAGTTGCTATCAGTTAAATATATACGGACCACACCGGCAAAAGCTCTGTTCACCCACGGAAATGCCCGTGGCAGTGTCAAAAGTTGCCTTCAGTTAAGGAAATACGGATAGCACTGTTCAAAGCGCTGTTCACCCACAGAAATCCCCGTGGCTGTATCCAAAGTTGCCTTCAGTGAAGGAAATTTGGACAGCACTGTCAAAGCCATTCCTCCAAGGAAATACCGTTGGTAGTGTCAAACGTTGCCTTCAGTGAAGGAAATACAAACCGCACTGTGAAAAGCTCCGTGCACCCACGGAAATCCCCGAGACAGTATCCAAAGTTGCCTTCAGTAAAGGAATAAACACGGCACGGTGAAGCTGTGTTCATCCAAATAAATGCATTAGCAATGTCTAAGCTCTGTTATCGCACGGAAATCCCCACTGGCACTTTCAAAAGTTGCCTTCAGTGAAGGAAATACAAACTGCAGTGAAAAGCTCTGTTCAGCCACTGAAATCCCCGAGGCAGTATCCAAACTTGCCTTCAGTAAAGGAAACAGGGACCTGACTGTCAAAGGCTGTGTTCACACAGGGAAATCCCCTTTGCAGAGTTAAAGTTACCTTCAGTGAAGGAGACAGAGGGGCCACTGTCAAAGCTCTGTTGAAGGGAAATCTCCGTGGCAATGTGAAAAGTTGCTATCAGTTAAATATATACGGACCACACCAGCAAAAGCTCTGTTCACCCACGGAAATCCCCGTGGCTATATCCATAGTTGCCTTCAGGAAAGGAATAAACACGGCACGGTAAACCTGTGTTCATCCAAATAAATGCATTAGCAATGTCAAAGCCGTGTTAACGCATGGAAATCCCCACGGGCAGTTTGAAAAGTTGCCTTCAAAGAAGGACATACAAGCTGCAGTGAAAAGGTCTGTTCAGCCTCGGAAATCCCCGAGGCAGTATCCAAACTTGTCTTCAGGAAAGGAAACAGGGGCCTCACTGGCAAAGGCTCTGTTCACACAGGGAAATCCCCTTTGCAGAGTTAAAGTTACCTTCAGTGAAGGAGACTAGGGGCCACTCTCGAAGCTCTATTCAAGGGAAATCCCGGTGGCAATGTGAAAAGTTGCTATCAGTTAAATATATACGGACCACACCGGCCAAACCTCTGTTCACCCATGGAAATCCCCGTGGCTTATCCAAAGTTGCCTTCAGTGAAAGAAATGGGACCTCAGTGTCAAAGGCTCTGTTCACAGAGGGAAATCCCCTTTGCAGTGTTAGGGTTTCCTGCAGTGAAGGAGATACACACGTCACTGTCAAAGCTCTGTTCAACGGAAATCCTAGTGGCAGTGTTAAAAGTTGCCTTCAGTTAAGCAAAGAGGGACGGCACTGGCCAAAGCTCTGTTCACCCACGGAAATCCCCGCGGTAGTGTCAAAAGTTGCCTTCAGTTAAGGCAGTACGGACAGCACTGTTCAAAGTGCTGGTCCCCCACAGAAATCCCCGAGGCTGTATCCAAAGTTGCCTTCAGCTAACGAAATTCTGGGGGGCCTGTCAAAATCTCTGTTCACCAAGGAAATCCCCTCGGCAGTGTGAAAAGGTGCCTTCGGTAAAGAAAATGTGGACAGCAGTGTCAAAGCCATTCCTCCAAGGACATACCGTTGGTAGTGTCAAAAGTTGCTTTCACTGAAGGAATTACAAACTGCAGTGAACAGCTCCGTTCACCCACGGAAATCCCCGTGGCTTTATCCATAGTTGCCTTCAGGAAAGGAAAATGCACAGCACTGTGAAGCTGTGTTCATCCAAGCAAATGCATTAGCAGTGTCAAAGCTCTGTTCACGCACGGAAATCCCCGTGGGCAGTTTCAAAAGTTGCCTTTACTGAAGGAAATACAAACCGCACTGTGAAAAGCTCTGTTCAGCCACGGAAATGCCCGAGGGACTCTATAAATTTGTCTTCAGAAAAAGAAATTAGAATGGCACTGTCCAAAGCTCTGTTCACCCACAGACATCCCCTTTGCAGTCTACAAAGTTGCCTTCAGTTAAGGAAATACGGACCTCACTGTCAAAGGCTCTGCTCACACAGGGAAATCCCCTTTCCAGTGGTAAAGTTACCTTCAGTGAGGGAGATACAGACGCCACTCTCAAAGCTGTGTACAAGGGAAATCCCTGTGGCAGTGTCAAAAGTTGCTATCAGTTGAATATATACGGACCGCAGGGCCAAAATCTCTGTTCACCCACGGAAATCGTGCTGGCAGTATGTAAAGTTGCCTTCAGTCACCAAAGTACCCCCCACACTGTGCAAAGCTCCGTTGATCACCGGATGCGCGCACCGCATTGTTAAGCTGGGCTCACCCACGCCAACACCGGGGCCAGTGGGAAATGGTGCCTTCCGTGAAGGGCATGCGGGAAGGCACTGTCAATAGCTCCGACCAGCAAAGGAAATACGTTAAAAGGAGCCTAGTTGTGAACGCAGTCAACCCGCTCTCATGTTGCAGCTGGAACGCGGCCCGTCCCAGAGTAAAAGTCTGTAAGTCACAGTG